TAATATATATATATATATATATATATATATATATATATATATATATATATATATATATATGGAAAATACTTCCTCACGTTTGGTAGGAAAGATTTTAGACACCGCTTCTCGTGCTCCTATTATAGGCACTATTGCTTCAGGTGAATTTCTGGAAGGAGCTTTATGTGTTAATAATCCCATGGCAGCTAAATGAAGCAGAGCAGTGTTGCACATGTTTAGCTTTTCATGAAAAAGGGAGCAGCAGCGGTGAGCAACCAATATGCACAGCACTTAAGACCCCTGAGGGGGAGTGATGGCTGCAGCATGTGTGGATTGGTCAGCCCTGAAGAGCTCCACAGTGATGTTGCTGAGTAGAGAAGCAGCCTCTGCATGGGGGATTAAACATATTCCTTCCTTGCCCAAGTTAATTTACCACTAGCAATCTTAATTTTTGTCTTGATTAAGAAAAGATTTTTTGTTAATTTTTTTTTTTTTGTCTGAGCTCAGTATTTATTGCCTTTCTTCTATAAAATCATGTTATAAATTCAGTGTGTTCCTACACTAACCAGGCCATAACAATTTCCTCCACACAGCTCCTCTCTTTAGATTTACAGCAAGAGGTGGAGAGAGGGTGGATGAGGTGGGGCGGCACGCGCTGTGGTGTGACACCGCACTAAAAGGGGAGGTGACCGCAGTGCTTTTACTGGTGCTGCAGTGCTCTGGTTTCTCCTGCTGGGGTCTCCTCAACACTAGGGATGAGCATTAGAGAGAAGAGGGAGATGATGTAGATAGGAGGAAGAAAGAGGAGTGAAAAAAGAATGTGAGAAGGAAGGAAAAGCATGAAATCTTGTGGTTGCATCCTTTGATGTGCTACAGTAGTGTGTGGAGGGAAAGTTGGTTGTGCAAAACCATACATTGCTTCTGTAACATCCCGATATCTGCCGTCCCCCATCCTTGAAAATCTATTTCTCCATCCAGCTCAGCAGTGGCTCTTTTTTCACCTCTCGCAAAAAATTCATATTCACTCCTGTGACACCGCAGAATGTTTTTTTCTGAGCTCTCCCCCGGTGAGACTCCCCTTTTCTCTATTCCACCTGTCTCCCTATCTGTTCTTCCCTCTCTTGCTCCCCACCCCTGTTATTTCCCAAATGGTGGCTGCTAAAGGTTTTGCACTTTTCTGCCAACTGCTGCTTCTGTTCCGCATAGTCAGCATTCCTCCAAATTCCTCCCTCTCTGCTTCTCCTCCCCCTGGATACTGCTGCTACTGCTGCTGCTGCTGGTACCTCACAGTCAATGCATCCCATAATCTTGCGTGCTCTCCCCCCTCCTCCTTCCTCTTCTTGCTGCAGTGTTTCTGCTAATATATATTAGCGTCATCGTGGTGCTGAAGCAGAGTCTGTGTGCACCTTTGAGCAGCATCATGTTGCAAAAACGGTTACCTTAGCCGAAATGCTGTCTTTTATACACATGTGTGTGACTCTAGCTGTCTTTGTAGCCAGGTGAGCATGTGTGTACCGTCTTCTGCTTGCGTACTCTTTGCCCACATATGTGTGTGTACTGGCGGGTTGGCGCAGGACATGGTGGCCAGTGCAGGAAATGCTGCAGGAGAGAGAAAGTGGTATTGCTGTCAGGAAGGTGGGGGGATTGTTCCTCTTCTTTGCCCCTCTGCAAAGCCCCGACCTTCATTCCTCAAATCTTTCTGTGTGCATGTTCTATTTTTTTCTCCTTCTTATCTTGATAACCTTCCATTCTCATTTAATTTCGACCATTCACTCTGTTTGGTGAATTGTTGCACTACTTTGAGGGTTTCTTTAGTAGAAATGTTTTCTTCAGCTTGTCTATATAAATACAGATTCAAAGAATTTGATTGTGTGCCATTCAAAATATCAACATGATACCCTGAAACCCAGAAGTAATTTTGATTAAAAATCAATAAGCTCAATATACGCCACAGCAAAGGAACAAATAGACACATAACCACAGTTTCAAATCTGTAGTTTGCCAAATTAAAGCAACAACTGTAGCAATGAAGTAGAGATTAAAGTGCTTGGTTACAAAGTTGAACTCAATCATAAGTTGTTTTCTTAAAGAACAGTTGTCAAAAGAATTTAGCTTTAAAAGAAGCTGCTGCCGAAAAGTTAAACGTCCCAGTGTTGGAGATAGGCAGAGGGTGAGCGCTGTCCATGGTGCTGAATTCTGATCCGTCCGAGAAGCAAACGCAGCTCTCTGCTGGACTGTCCCGCAGGAAAAAAGCAGTATAGGTTAGCACCTTCCCCCTCCCCACAATCTTTGTTGAAGGTATTTGTTTATATAATTATAATGACATAAAGCTGGCTCCATTTTAAAAGTCTACAAAGTACAATAGCTTTGTAAAATTCCTTGCAACTTTCAAACTTTTCCGTGCGGTATTTTATATCATGGAAGCACGGTGATGATCCTGCAGCAAAGCATGTGAAGACCTGCGATTACTAGAGTAGAGAGAAACTGAGTTATTCAACTTTTCTCATATCTTCACCTGTGCAATAGTTGCTGTAGTTGTTATTAACTGATGCAGAATGCTTGGAAGTATTGGTCCTTACCTTGAACTGGCAAACAGAATTTCCCCCTGGTTTTGAAAAAGGAGATGTAAAAAAAACTCTTCAAATATAACTTTTCCCATAAGAAACAAAACACGTTTCTTCAAGCGTAAAAGCGCAAATTAAACTACAGTATTAGATCGTAGAAAATGAATAAGAGCAAAGTGAAATAAGTTTGCTTAGGAAATGGAGTGAATCAAAGTGCGGTGCAGAGAAGGGAGGAGAAAAAAGAGGACGGAAGAGAGGGAGAGAGAGAGCAGTGGAGAGGAGAGAAGATAGGGGGAGTCATGGGAGAGGAATGAGATGGTTAAGGAGGAAAAAAGAAGAGGTGAAACCTTGATTCCCCTCCTTCAGTGAAATGTGACTCTTTTATGCGAAATATGAGAGCGAGAGAGGAAGAGAAAGTGAGGAGGGGGAGGGCTCAGGATAGCGGAGGAGGGAGGAAAAGATAGTGTTGCATCTCTCTGAATAGGGAAAGAAAGGTTAACAACATAAACACAGTAGGCTTTTCTTTTATTTCCTTTTTTCCATTCCTGCTGGGAACGCGAGTCTTTTCTGAAGCCCCTCTGGATGGCGAGGCAGCCCACAGGCGAACAATCTGACCCTCAGTGGGAGAACAGAGAGAGGAAGAGCGCAAATAACTCCAGCTTTTTACTGCAGCAGAATTCATTCACGTTTATAGTGCACTCTCCTTTTAATGCTCTTCCTCCTTTTCCTCCTCACCCCCTCTTTTCTCTCTTCCATTACTACACAAGAGACAACATTACAGGAGCTGTCTTCACCGAGTCTGCAGCATTCACTGCCCCCCCCCCAGCTCTTTTCCATAAAAAAATCAGATTTTTTCCCCCAGCCTCATCTTCTTTTTTTTTCCTCACCTTCTTCTCTTCCCCTTTAAGCCCTCCTCTCTCTATCTCTCTTTCCCACACACACAATTCAGTGCGGTGCATGGGAAAAGTGGATAATTGTGCATCGCCTGGATCTCGGTGCGGTCGGAGGGGGCTGCAGCAGTTTGTGTAGAGCACGCACACAGGCTTGATTGAGGAGATCTAACATTAGTACGGACACCACACTCTCAGGAGGCAATTAACACACACATATACACATGCATGTACCAAAACACACACGCTCACACAGCTCTGCACCAACGCGTCACAGAGGAATTCTGGGGGAAGGTGGGAAAAAGATCCCCAATCTTCTTTTATAAACCCTCCACTTCTGGATTTCACTCTGTTCAATATGGAAGATCTTGGTGGCCTGATTTGAATGAACACTGACTCCAGCATTAACTGCATTTACAATTTAGATGTTAAATGAGAGGGTTGTCCTGACAGTCGGAGAGAATAAAACTTTCTCATCACTGGTGTCAACAAGCACCCATGCGGTTCTGACTCATGAATGTGCTCACAGCCACCTGTTTTCCTGTGGTTTCTCCATTTTTCCACAATGCTTGTGCTGCAAACTACTTTGCAGCCCATCACCTCTCTGCATGCACCCTCACCCATCCTAAAACCCTCTGCGCCCCTTCCACCAGCTTATCATCGTGTGAATTCATGTGAATCCAGATGGTATTAGCGTATAATTCCTAATGTTGATAATCCATATCTATATTTCTCCCTTTCTGTTAAGATTTTCTGCCCTTTTTCTCTCCCCGCAGACTCCTCAGACTCCTCCCTCCTCCTCCTCCCTTCGGTTTCTCGCATCCTCTCCCTCCCCCCCGGTGCTCTATGATCAATTCGGTGTGTGTATCCTCTTTCAAAGGGCGCAAGGGTGGGAACAAGTCGTCCAACAAAGCATGTTACAGCGCAGACATGACTTGCCCGTCGGAAAGCGAGAAAATCGTGATAAACTGCGGGGGGGTGAGGCATGAGACCTACCGGAGCACCCTGAAAACACTCCCGGGGACCCGCCTGTCGTGGCTCACCGAGCCGGACGCCTTCAGCAACTTCGACTACGACCCCAAATTGGACGAGTTCTTCTTCGACCGCCACCCGTCCGTCTTCTCATTCATCCTTAACTACTACCGCACCGGAAAGTTGCACTGTCCCAACGATGTGTGCGGTCCACTGTTCGAGGAGGAGCTGGCCTTCTGGGGCATTGATGAGACGGACGTGGAGGCGTGTTGCTGGATGAACTACCGGCAGCACAGGGACGCGGAGGAGGCGCTGGACAGCTTCGAGACCCCGGAGCCGGACGCGCCGGACGACGACCCGGCTCTGGGTGGCGCGGACGGGGACTTGAAAAGACTGTGTCTGCAGGAGGACGCACGAAGAGCTGGTTTTTGGAAGACCTGGCAGCCCAGAATATGGGCTCTGTTCGAGGACCCGTATTCTTCCAAATATGCCCGGGTGAGTTCCTCAGATCTCCCAACCTGTTCATCTGCAATGCTGTTGCATGTTTCAAGTAGAATTTATAAAACTTTCTTTAAAACCCTCTATTAACCCCAATTACTGCCAAAACAACCCATCGATATTAACTACAGGTCACTAACTGCTTGCATGTAATCTCTGACAGGATTAAGTGGCGGTAGCCTGTATTGATTTACTGATGTTTAATAATTAATGCTGATAACTTGAGGAAAAAATGGAAAATGGTATGTCAGCCTTATAGTGTCTCCCTCTGAGCAATGTCTTGCTGAATAGACTTTTTGTCTAAATGAGAGAAATTGTGGTTGCAAACTAAACCCTGAGAGGTGGTTTATACAGCTGTCTTGTGTGGCTTTAATTTGAATTTGTAAATATACATATATATTGTCCCATTAATGAGATATGGTTAAAAAAAACAGTGTACTGAGATCTGAATGTAGTTGAAAATAAAACGTTGAAACGACTCCACATCTCTAAACATTTTACAGATGCAATGAATAAAGACAGCAAAATATATCTGCATAAATAAAGATCTGTATTGATGTCTAAAAAGACCTTTATATTCATATAGAGCTATGTCTTTTACTGGTTAAGAGAACCTCAATAGAGACCTTGAATGATTTAATCTATTGACCTTTATGTCGGGTAGAAATTTAACTTCCAAATATGAATGTGTTTAAAATGTGGATCTTACAGCTATATATGTAGGTAGGGTTGTCTACTGGAATTTAAAATTGTTTAAAAGAGGAAAAAGCATCTGCATATGGAGGTTCTTGAGAATCTAAAGTGGTTGAAATGCTAAGTGGTCAACTCAAAGATGTAGAAATACTTTTAAAAAGTGCAAAATTTTAAGGCTTTTTATTAGGTAAATGCTTCTATTGATTTTGAATTGTGTAGGATAATCGTTTAAATCCTGGATTTGGTTTAAAAGTGGAAGGTCAGAAGACATATAGTGCTTTCTAGATGTGGTTGAACAGTAGCCATTGAAAAGATGATGACAAAAAAAAGAGGTCTGCGGATGCTGATTGGAACCTTAAACCTATGTTGAAGTACAGATGTGTAACAAACAGATATTTAAGTGGTGGAGACATCTAACTGAAGCCTAAATGTAGATTATCAGACCAGATGGTCCAATGACATCTTGGTTTAGAACAAGTCAGAAAACCAAAATATTTGGTCAGCAAAAAATAACATTTTAAATATTTTGTTTCTCTTTTTTTTAAAAAGCTAAGTTTTGCCAACCTTAAATAACCATATAATTTTTCTATTATTTTATAAATAAATAAGATAAAAAAATATTATATATATTAATATATATACTGAGTGCATTCTATGGTATTACCCAACTGTAAATATTTTAGCATTATTATAAAATGTGTCTATATATCCTCTCTTTTAGAGCTTTATTGCTGTGTTATTGTTTTAGCTGTTCCCCCAGTCCCAGTTGAACGCTATGTGCTTTTTCTCTTTGTATGTATTATACCCAACTTACTACTGTGCTGGGAAGATATTTACTGCTTGAAATTCCTTCTAATATACCTTCTAAATGCCGTTTTTTTAAATGCATTTGATCATACAGGTGGGGATGTAACAAGTATCCCTGACTGTTTTTGATCTGTGCTGATTCTTTTAGTCTTAGAGCTTTCTGTTAAAGACACATCCAGCTGTTTGATCAGAGCTGCTTTCTTTTTTTTCTTCCTGTTTTTCTTTTAATATGAATCTGACAAGACGGTGCATCAGAACCAGTCCTTGCGATTATTTCATGAATAGGTTCAGGCGGACAAATCTGACTGCCTGCAGATATTGTGCAAATGACCACAACACAAAATGTATTTACTTCATAACTTCCCTGTCTGCAGTTGTCTGGGACATTATAGTAAAAGATTGCTAGTGCATAATAACCTCCATTGATATATCCCAGTTTCAACATGAAGGTTTTAAAAAGATTTATGAAATTATCCTTTTACTTGGATAATAAATGGTAAGACGGCCAATGTTCCTCCTGCTGCCAAAATAGTATAACATTAATTGTCAGTTATTACACAGGTTTCCATTACATTTCAAAGCTGCTGTTATAATTTTAAACACAATGAATCAAAATTACACAATAAATACATCAATTTGCCTTTTTGTACCTCTGAGACATGGGTGTAAATGGTACTGGGGACGGGGGGGGACATGTCCCCCTCAGATTTATGGTGATGCCGATCTGTCCCCCGACTGGTCATAAAATGCCAGAACTGGAAATTTCCTGCAGAAATTCTCAATTAGAGGTTGGCTTGATCCCTTAGGCTAAAGACACCTGCAGGTGACATTAGGTGTAACTATTACATCATTGCAGGTTTAAGTAAAACAAGAGCTGACCTGGTAATTCACTGAGACCAATAAGGCAAATTTCCCTTGAGTTCCTGAGCTCCGCCCTCTGTTTGATCAGGTAGAGACACTTGTGAGATTGTTGCTGGTGGCTTCCTATATCATCTTCTGAAGCAGAGCAAAGGTTTAGTGGACTTTGCAGACTCAAAACTTGGTTGCAATAGACCATCACACAAGAACAACTCAGTGGCATTGCTGTGCGCCATATTCCTCAAAAGAGGCTTGACAAACAATAAATTGCCCAGTAGTATGTCCACCGTATGAGAGGAGGAGAGATTTTTTTTGGGTTCTTCCTTTAGTCTACTTCTAAAAATTACATTTGTTAACTGCACTATATGTAATTCTAAAAATTACTATATATGTAATTAAAAAGTTTCATTCCTAGTGTCCATACCTATTTTATTATTAGTATGTTACTTCTTAATTTATACACATTTTAAAAAGTACATTTTCATGTTTGTGATATTTTGGTTGGTGATTAATTGTTGTTGATGTTGAGCACCACTTGAATCCAGCAGCATTTTCTTTGGGTATGACCTGTTAGAGTTTTCATATGATTTGCTTTCTTGAGAGCTCTTCCAGTTCATCCATAACTCTACATAAATCTAACATTTATTTTTGGTGAAAACTATTTGTTTTCAAGACAGCATGTGCAGATAACACAGTGTATTCTCATTATTAGTTCGTATGAAATCGTACGAAAAGTTATGCAACGTAATTTCGTACGTTTTAGACATTTTTTTCGTCGCATTTCGTCGTATTTTTACGTCTTGCCTCGAGACAATTTATCCTTGCGCATGCGCATCTTACGCACCATTAAATAACATAGAATTTAACATTCAATTAGCCCTAACCCTGACCCTAACCCTAAGATACAAAACAGCAAGCAACCTAGTTAGAGACCTGAAGAAGTGATTATTGCACTGTTTTTCCCAGTTTTTTGTCCGTCCGCGGATCTGCTTTTTTCGTCTGTCTGGCTGCGCATGCGCACTGATCTGTATTTTGGAGGAAAAATGTCCAAAACGTACAAAATACTGTGCATAACTTTTTGTACGATTTCATACGAACTGATAATGAGAATATGTTGGATAACAAGTTATTCCATAGCAGCGCAATGTTAGTGGAAGAAACTGAATAGAGCCAAATTGGGGCCATAAAGTCCGTTGAAAAAAGTATCCAAAAGAAAAGTTAGTAAAAAAAAAAATTCAAAAGAAAAGCATTTAAAAATGTAAACAAAAGTTTATTAAAAAAATGTATCTGAAAAACCAAAAGTTATTCAAAAGAAAAACTACTTTTAAGATTAAATTTTTTTTTCCCGAAACTAACAAAAATTTTTACGGACTTGCAGATTTTTTTTTCAGGTTCAAACTTTTTGAAAGCTGTTGAGCAATGGGAGCCGATATGATTAAGACCACATCTTAACAGACAAAATAAGGTAAAAAGAACGCGGCACAGCTGCTAACAGCTGTCTTTTATGGAAAGCTAATTGCTACTAAAGTGTGGGCGTGTAGTTAGAGCCTAGAGAATGATGTGAAAGACAAAATACAACATGACCATTCAGACAGCAGACTCAAACATATCCAATAAGTAAGAAACACATATGCAAGTGGCACAACTGGATTTATTTGGAATGAATAGATCAGAACTGGGCTGTTCACACTGGTAAGTGACCGTCATTTGCTAGTTAGTTGGACTACAGAATGTCTTAAGGCTGTCATTCTGCAGTCAGACTAAGGGTGTGCAGAATAATCGTCATGACGATGCGTCCCGATTCTAATTTTTGTGATCTACTGCATCGATTCTTGAAGGCAAGAATCGATTATAAAAAAAAAAAAAATTAACAAATAAAATACATTAATCGTTGGCGCACATCAGCCAAACCAAGTGGAATACAACTTCCAGTCCAGCAGATGTCGCTGCGGATGTGTTGACGCCAGCTGCTTTGTGTCACAAGCATTTCCGGCTGTGGGATACTGCGACGAGTCATATGACATAAACATGGAGGACACTATGAAAATTCGCCCCGCGGCTCCATCACATTTCAAGTCAAATGCTTGGATGCATTTTGGCTTTAAAAACAAAGAAGGTAAAAACGAAGTTGATATGACGCACGTAATTTGCAAAAGGGGAAATATACATTTGAATGTTTTCGTTTCATTGGTTTAAAGGACCACTGAGGCCATGTAAACGGGACTGATTATCCTTATTTTGTTATTTTAAGTTTGATGAATCCTAAGATCTTTTTGTCAGTGTGTCCACACCAGTAATAGTAATATTTCTGTCCAGTATTTTTTTCATGGCAACACCTCCAAAAGTCATTTCAATAAATACAGCTATGTATGAATTCAGTTGCTTTCAGTTATGTATCAATTAAAGACACTATCCAGATCACACCCAGCCAGTCAGCCACTGGTAAGGGCTGTATCTTTTTCTTACAGTGTTCAGTGAAAATATCGCAATGCATCGCAATATTTCAAGTATCGCGATGCATCGTGATAGAATTGCATCGTGGCATGTGAATCGTGATTCGTATCGAATCATGACTTCTTTGCCAATACCCACCTCTAAGTCAGACCCTTTATTTTTAAGACTTTAATCCAGCTCACTGG